GTCACCGTTTCTCTGGTCGTTTCGCTCACTTAAAGTCACCGTTTCTCTGGTCGTTTCGCTCTCTTAAAGTCACCGTTTCTCTGGTCGTTTCGCTCACTTAAAGTCACCGTTTCTCTGGTCGTTTCGCTCACTTAAATTCACCGTTTCCATGGTCGTTTCGCTCACTTAAATTCACCGTTTCCATGGTCGTTTCACTCAAGTCACCGTTCAACATTTCAACATTCAACATAAACATTTGATGCAACCTGTATGTATGAGTTAAACAAACAACCTGTATTTACAAATTCGATCGACCTGCACATAAACACTTCTACTGACAGCTCTCTCACACCACAGCAATCAGTTATACTTAATATCATAGAAAGAGTGAAATCAGCCTTTAAGACCATTTTCTGTTGCCACCTTCACAGTTCAGGAGATTTACGGATGTTCTTGTAAGTGATTCTAAAAATCTATAATGTTCCACAACTGATGGAAATCATGAGAATAAAGAGGACCCAAAATGCTGGGAATGAAAATGAATGAAAATGTTCATCTCCAAACACCTTTGACTGAAGGGAAATCCGTCCCATTTCCTGTTGACTGATGGACTATAGGACCGCTTTAAAGGGGATTACCTGGGAGAGATCATACGCTGTGAGACCGTCTCTCTGGTGAACCTCTAACTCTGCCTGCTGCTGCTGCAACTGCCTGAAAAAACAACAATAGATACACATCAGCAGCTTCATACACTGAGGGGCGGAGCTAGAAGATGGCCACGCTTAGCCAAAGGTTAGCCACACCTGTAGTCACCCTCACAGTGTGAGTGTTGAGACTGTCCAGAGGAATTGAAACCATCAATAAGAGATAATTTAATCTGCATTTAGTCACATTTCTTCTAATTTATCTGATATTTCTTCTACAGAAAAGGTGCGATTCAAAGAGTCAGATGGAGAATGATGTTTGGAGGATTTCCTGTACATTTATAGCTGCAGTCTGTCATTTTCAGCAGCATGTGTGGTCAGACTGCAGCAACAAGAGAGCTTGTCGTTATGGAACACAATGACCAGGTTCATTTATTTAGATTAAAGCTGCAACTAACCATTAGACAATGATTTGCACATCGGTTAATCTGTTTGTTCATTTTTAGATTAATCGATTAATAGTCTGACAGCCAAAGGTTCCTTAAAGAAGATTTTTTATAAAATTAAACCAGGTGAAACTAAAACTTTTCCACTTGACCGGTTCTGGATAGAGCAGATTGACATGTTGAATGTTAAGTTTTGTGCATGGGCACAACGCTAACCCTGCTGGAGAATGACATTTATGTTAGGATGAAACCAGGGGATGTCAGTATTAGTCATTTAGTTTTTACTTTCCTTTCAGCTAAAATGAAGAGAAAGGAGGCAAAGGTTGCCCAGAAGGAGGATGAAGGAAATATGCATCAGCTCTTTTTATATGGTTTATATCTGGAGAACTTTGTAATGCAAGTGTTCCTTATTAAGGGCGGGTGGGTGGGGGTGGGTGGGGCAGTTGCAACACATTCTTTAAAACTTCTCCTAGTTTAACTTCTAAGAATGAAACTCAACAGCAATGCAGAGGATGTGAAGTAACTTACTTGACGTTGGTGTTGGTGCAGATGATGTACTCGATTTCATCAGAGTACGGGTTCTGGAAGGTGAAGCTGCTGGTTCTGATCAGCATCCACTCCCTGTTTTTCAAGCGGAAGCGATACATGACAGATAACACCTGTCCCTTCAGTTTCACCACCTGCAGGACAACAGAAACCGGGATCAGAGTTTGAACTCTGCCGCCACCATTCCCTCAGCATTCTGGGCCTTTTCTATGTCACCAGGTCAGGATCAACATAAGAACTGGAGATAAGTGCTGTGGCTAAGGAGAGGAGAGAGTGGGAAGTCACTGGGCGGTGGGAGTTAGCACCAGCCTCTCCTCGCATCGTTAGCTGCCATCGTTCTCTCCTCTCCTACCTCTGGAATCTTTCATATTTAAAACGGCACAGAAGGAACCTGGACCAGATCCTTAGATTTACAATAACCTTTTACCCCTTTCTAACTTGCCATTAATTGGTAAAAACATGCCTTTCCCCAACTTCCCGTCCGTCTAACTTCAAATGATCAATCTGAGCAGTTCCAGTCTGGTTTCTGCTGCCATATTGAAACTGATGGTAGCCATCATTCTGTTCCTTCATCAACACTCCATCCTTCCTCAGTCTGTCTCATTCACGGCCCGCTCCATCGACACGTCCGCAAGAGTATCGATTCATGTTATTTTTCCTCCGGTTTATTTTTATCCATTTGCTCCTGCATGTAATTCTGACTCCCGTGCTGCCGTAGCGCTAAACCTATTTTACCCTCCTCCCTTACAGTTCAGTCTAGGAGTGTGATTGTGATCAGAAAGAATCTTGTTTTAGTGATCTACAAATGAAACAACAGAGAGGAGAGTGCTTATAATAAATGTAAAAACGGCCTGCCATAGCCCACTTCATATAAACTTAAATCAACTGGAGCAGCAATCTTGGCAGCTGTAGAGCTGTTTCTCTGTCTTCTAAACACATTATTTCTTCATTTAATCTCTAGTTCCAGTGGGGTGAAACAGGCACTTCCTGTTGCCTGTTGTCATGGTACCTCGTCAAATCGGTGCTCCACTGATCATGGCTTTTCACACTTGTTATGCACGTGCTAAATTCTAGTTAAAATTGATTGAACTAATTTATAGCAGCTGTTGTGAAACCGAACACTCAGAATTTCTGACTTTAGGCTAGAGTTATTTAGAGTTAAGGATCTTGGTTTGTTAAACGGACCACTGGCTACCCTTCCTGTCCTCTCATGATGATGAATTTAAAAGATAGTCTGGTTCCTGCAGCTCCCAGACTCCCCCTAAACTAACTCTCTGGTTTGGCTGACATTAAGGTCCAGAAAGCTGCCACTGAACCCGGAGCGAAGCTGGTCCATGTTCTGAATGTGAGGTGAGCAGTCAGCAGGAAGCGGGCCACCTTCCACTCCCACGTCATCAGGATATCAATAAGCTAAAGGTGAGAACTTTAAAACGCTGCTCATTAGCGAACAAAGAGAAGAAGAAGAGTGGAGAAGCGACCCTGTGGACCACCTGCCTTCAGATGGGACATTATCTACAGGTAGGGGGCTCTCTGCAGAAAGCCTTTCATCCAGAGAGCTGCTGACATTCTCACATGTCTGAAGAGCTGTGGACTTTGTTCAGGTTAGCATGGCCTCAGTTAGCCCTTTACCTGCATGGGGTCCATGTGGTGGGCTGATACGGAGGAGGAGGAGAGCTTCTTCATAAACAGCTTCTCTATTGCTTGGTATACATGTAAAGGCCATGCTCTGAGCTCATTTACAGCTTTAGCATTCAGAACCTCTCTATTAACAGCTGAAGTTCAGGACACCCCCCCCCCCCCATACCATCCCGTTAGCAAACCTACCTGTTGGAAGCTTTCTCTAAGGTGACTCTGGTCCTCAGGATGACAGAATTCCAGAATATCCTTTCCCAAGAGATCCTGAGGAAACAGAGCAAAGGGTTACTTAGCACAGGTGAATGTAGCCTCATGCATCATGTCTAACCCCAGGTGATGCAGGAGGTAATATTCACCTGTCCAACCACAGGTAAACAGGGAAAGACAAACTTTATTTAGTTTAGACATTCCGATGCATAAGGCCTTCCAACAGTGAACATCTGCCTTTATAAAGAGCAGCAATGATCAGTAGAATATGTTGCCCTATGTTGTAGGTCTATGGTGCCCGAGGCAGAAAGGTCCATAAAAGTCCACAAAAAACGTGTCAATATTCCAAGTGTCCTGAGTGGGTAGCGTCCATAATTTACTCGAAACGAAGTCATTTAGTTTTTAGAGCATAAACAGTATTGTATAGGATTTCCTAAAAGCGCGTTCACGAGTCTACGGAAACCGCGGCAGACCAAACCAGATGAAAGTGCGCATTCAGCTCGGCAAAGAACTCATGCTCTTCCTCAACACTGAAGTCCTCAGAAATTTTTCTTTCGTTGTTTCTTTCTTTGCACAGGTAAACAGCACATTTCTTCTTCTACGCTTGCATTATCGGCAGAGCAGACGCTGAATGCGCACTTTCATCTGGTTTGGTCTGCTGCGGTTTCCGTAGACTCGTGAACGCGCTTTTAGGAAATCCTATACACTACTGTTTATGCTCTAAAAACATTCTAAATGACTTTGTTTCGAGTAAATTATGGACGCTACCCACTCAGGACACTTGGAATACATTGGACGAGCAGTATGGAGGAATATTGACACGTTTTTTGTGGACTTTTATGGACCTTTCTGCCTCGGGCGACATAGACCTCCATTATTTGAATGTCAGCAGACAGCAAGAAGCCTCCCAGATCTCCAGATGCATTTGAGATATCAAAAAAGTACTCCAGAGTGTTGTTCAGCATGGGGGTGAGTAGAAAATGAAGGCTAATCATGTTTTGGGTGTACTATTCCTTTAAAGGGATTTGAGAACTTTGCCATTTAGCGCAGATATGATGTCATCAGTGTGATGCAGAGTCTCTGATTTAGAGTTTCAACAGTTCATCAGTGTGATGGCGGTGGGGAAGAAGCTGCTGCAGAACCTGCTGGTCCTGCATTGAATGCTGTGAAGCCTCTTCCCAGAGGGCAGCAGGGAGAACAGTCCATTGTGGGGGGGTGAGGGGTCACTGATGATGTCACGGGACATGCAGCGCTGGGATGAAATGTCTTTAATGGAGGGAAGAGGAGCCCCCATGATCTTCTCTGCTGGACAGGTGGGCTCTCCTCATCCTCCAGTGTGAGGCGCTGCAGCCTCCACACCACACAGTGTTTTAGTCAGAAGCTTCATATGATGGTTCATATGTGTTGAAGCAGGGATCCTTCTGGCTGCTGCGGCAGCTCTTTATCCACAGCTGCTCTCTATCATCTGTCACAGCAGCATTTCGCTTTATTTCTTTTCATCTGTTTGGTGGGTTAGTCCAGTTTTGTGTTTGGACCTGCTGGCCACCATAGTATCAGATAAATAAATAAATACCTGTAAGTCTAGAACAAATCTCTTTATTTTCCATATAATGTGTCCTGTACCTCTTTCTATGAAGGTCAGTATCAGATTCTTTGCATCGTCAGATTTATCTGATGTTTCCAAAACAGAAAATGAAAACAGCTGCTTCCTGCTGTGAAATCTGCATGAGCTCACCTGAGGTTGATAACCGATGACATTAATGCAACGAGGGTCAACAAAGGTGATGACGCCGTCCGAGTTGTGACGGGAGAGGAACTCTGTAGGAACCGACAGGCCGTTCATATCCATGGAGACGGGAGAGCTGGTCACCTGCAGGAGGAGGAGCATCCAGTCATTAACCTCACACTCCGCAGCTCCTAATATCTAATAGTTTAACTGCTGCAGAAAGGAACATGTTAAATAACCTGTTATTTGTCTTGTGCAGTTTCCCTGAGTCGAGGACGTATTTAGGTCCCTATTTACATAGCGACACTATAAAGGGAAATAATGTGGCTTTTAAAACATCTTTCTGATAAATTGCTCAAATTAAAGGACGTTTATTGGTTGAAAGCGTATAATGGTTATGCTTTTCCTTCTGTAAACAGGAAGGCAGCGGCCTTCTGGACGTGCTACGTCAGGAACGTCTATCAGATGGTCAGAACCATGGCGAGTGAAAACCGGCCCACTGACCGGTGCTACTCTAAGGACAGGAGGTGTGAGCGCCAACGACAGGAAACAACATTCCTTCTTTCCTGTATTTAGAGACTCCATCAGATCATCGTCCTGCTGCTAGTTTTCCATGTCAGTCTCATCATTTGATTATCTTAAAGCAGAGGTCGACGTTAAGAATTTTTACCACTTGCCCTTTGGGCTAGTGACTTTCACATTTCATTTGCCCAGAAACTATTTTTCCTTGCCCAGTATAATGTTTGATAAATATAGTTCCTAATATTCATTTTTGTATATATATCAATGAAACATGTTTGTTTTTTAAATGTTTTTTGTAATTCAGTATTTTTTAAGTTTCCAGGTTCCTGGTGTTTATATGCATGCGTCAGATAATGAACTCAAGCCTACATTACCGTGTTAACATGCTTTTCAATCCTTCCTGCACATTCTTTTCAAACTTTGCTTTAAACTGTTGTGTGCTTGGAAAAATATAAATTGTAATGTTAGAAATCTAAAAACAACTTGACAGGTTAAAAACTTAAGATAAATCACAAGACAGAAGTCAATGTCACAAATGAATAACTTTTATTTTAGAGTCACGGTATGTTTATACAAGATAATACTATTAATATAATGTGACTTTTCTAGAGAATCATTATACATAGTTATTTTATGCAGGGTTTCCACAGTCTGACATCATTTCAGAATTCCCTGACTTTTAACTGACTCAGGATTAGTTTTCCCTCACAAAATAAAAGCAGCAACAAGACAAAAATAATAACAACATAACAGGTCACCAATCTAACATGTTCAGCTCTATAACATTTAAATGCACCTCTCCATTGTCTAAGAGAAAAAAATTAATGAACATTTTTTAATGTCTGACCTGCATCACTGTACAGAAGACTGCCATATGATAGCCATATTTACACTGTGCGCATGGCATACAATTATGCAAATCTTCCTAACCCCTGACCGATAATTTTAAATCCAGGGTTATCTGGGTGGAGGGTGAAATAGGTGGAGGGTGTGTTACTGTACATAACTTTTGCCATGTGTTTTTTTTTTTAGCCTGCCAAGTTGAAAAAAATGTGTCTGATTCGCGCCAATTACCGGACAAAAATCACGCCATTTGGCGGAAAATCACGCACCTTTTTCAAATCATGCGAGAATGTGTACAAAACAACAAAAATGGCGATGACAACGCTTCTGGGTCGTTTTCATCGAATGTTCGTGATTTTAAAGTAATTTTGACTGATAAATAATTTTTTTTGCGATCATTGCACTGAAATGAAATTTGCAATGAAATGTGTAGATCGGGCGATGGTTAACATCGAGCCCGTAAAGGATAACAGATCATCCAGTAATAACATTTCAAAGCTTTACATCATGTAATAATTATCAGCTTTTTACTCTCATTCCACTGTCAGCAGTACAGAGCAACCAAATTCCCTCTCTGCATTTAACCCCTCCCCCTGGGGAGCAGTGGGCTGCCATTAGCGGCGCCCGGGGAGCAGTGTGAGGTTAAGGGTCTTGCTCTGCAGGCTCTCGGCTGCTGCTGCATATGAGCGCCGTGTTATCCAGCGGGTGATGTGTTTCCATGCTAGGTATCAGAGAAGATGACCATGAGCTGAAACCCACCTGCAGTCTGCCAATGGCCACCAGGCAGTACTTTCCTGTTTGCCCCGCCTCTGTGTCCTCCTCTGGAATGGTCATTCCTGCGTTTCACAGGCAGACAGACAGAAACAGCATTTAGATGTGACTGACTCTGTTTCACTGCTGGATGAATGAAGGCAGGTTATCTTAGTGAAATGTTAGATCATATAAAGCCGTATCCAGGCCTCTGTCGCACTTAGAACCCACTGGTCTATACATCACCCCCCCACACACACAAACTATCTAATCAGGCTTGTACTTTTTTTTTTTTTTTTGGATCCTTCTCAAAAGTCTTAAGGCCCTTGATCATCAGCATCCTTTGCTTCCCACCCCCCTCCCCTACAGCAGCGGTTTCTAAGCTCCGCCCCCCCGTCTCAGCTCAAGCACAGGTGGATGAAATGATGCCTTCCTCCGTCAGCAGCCACCATCTTTAGTCAAGCTAGAAGGCAGCTGTTCCCATGATGTAACAGAGGTTAGAGAAATGAAAGCATGAAAAATGATGGAAAAGGTGTGTTTAAGTACAGAGGCGCAGACTCTCTCCTCTGCAGCTTCACAGATCTAAATGGGCCTTTTCATCTACAACGACTCCTTTTTGTCTTCTTGATGCTCTGCTTCTGGAAAGCATCTTGAAAAGAGCTGAACAGATCAAATGTATTCATACACATGATCTTCCTGTTCTGCAGAGAAAACTCTCTTATTGACTTATTGTAGAAGTCTGCTTCATTGAAAGAATTTAAATGATTTAGTTTTAAGTGAACATTTGGTTTAACTAGTGTGAAACGTTCCTCTAAAGACCTGCCAGATACCAGGGACTCCTGGATGTTCCCCTGAAATCTTCACTGTTGGCATCAAAAACAGTTTTTAACTAAAAACAGCAGTGGCCTGACTTCACAGGCGGCTGCAGTACACCTTTTTACCTGCAGGGGGCCATGCTTTGATGTATCCAGTGCAATGCACCACAGAGTACTGAGCCTCTCCTTCCTTGGACGGTCCCAGGCCGTTCCTGACCAAGATGAAGAGAGAGACACAGCAACATGATAAAACATCCCGTCACTCAGAACTTTTCACATAAAACATGATTCTGTGGTTTGTTGATCCAGAGCTGATCACTGATCAGATAAACTGCACTGCTTCCTGTTAACTGAAACAGTCCCAAACGGTTAGAGGACGGCTCTGGAGGTGTTTCTGATGAGGGTGAGCACCATGGACAGAAATTCTGCTCAAAGTCATTTTAAAAATGCTTTATTCATCTAAAAAGGGAAATACAGAAGGACTATCTGTGATTTAAAGATCAGACAGAGCAGCAGTTCCTTCAGATTTACTCTGGAAATATGTAATTACTTTTTCATCCCATCAACTTTATTTCTCCTTGAAGTTATCCAGTGAATCTAACCCTCCACCAGTGAATCTAACCCTCCACCAGTGAATCTAACCCTCCACCAGTGAATCTAACCCTCCACCAGTGAATCTAACCCTCCACCAGTGAAT